ATTGTGTCCAGTTCTGGGCACCGCATTTCAAGAAAGATGTGGAGAAATTGGAGAGGGTCCAGAGAAGAGCAACGAGAACGATTAAAGGTCTAGAGAACATGACCTATGAGGGAAGGCTGAAGGAATTGGGTTTGTTTAGTTTAGAAAAGAGAAGATTGAGAGGGGACATGATAGCAGTTTTCAGATATCTAAAAGGGTGTCATAAGGAGGAGGGAGAAAACTTGTTCATCTTGGCCTCAGGATAGAACAAGAAGCAATGGGCTTAAACTGCAGCAAGGGAGGTTTAGGTTGGACATTAGGAAAAAGTTCCTAACTGTCAGGGTTGTCAAACACTGGAATAAATTGCCCAGGGAGGTTATGGAATCCCCATCTCTGGAGATATTTAAGAGTAGGTTAGATAAATGTCTATCAGGGATGGTCTAGACAGTATTTGGTCCTGCCATTAGGGCAGGGGACTGGACTCGAGCTCACGAGGTCCCTTCCAGTCCTAGTATTCTATGATACACTATTACAACACTAGTCAGTACAAACTAAAATTTCATATTGATAATGACTTGCTTATACTACTCTTTATACCATACTCTGAAATATAAGTACAATATTTATATTCCAATTTATTTTATAATTACAGGGTAAAAATGAAAAAGCAAGCAATTTTTCAGTAATAGCATTATTTCAGTAATAGTGTCTGATTTTGTAAGCAAGTAAGTTTAAGTGAGGTGAAGCCTGGGGGTACACAAAACAAATCGGACTCCTGCAAGGGATATGGTACTCTGGAATGGTTGAGAGCCACTGTATAGGGCACAGAACCTGCAAGCTGAAGTAGTAAGGGTATTCTTCAGATAGGCTAGTAAGAGGAGCACTTGAACAGATGTTTACTAATTAAATTTCACAAATTCATCTGGATGCATTGTCCCATGTTTTACAGGAGGGGAAAACCTAAGCCCAGAAAGGCGTAGCTTAACTAGGGTAACACCAGGAGATCCTGACTTATGGTCCAGTGATGAGACCAGTAAGCACAGTCTCTCTTAGGACACAATGGTTTTTTACCACAGATGCCTTGGGATTGTTCCTTTTCCTTTTAATTGGGTGACTGTGTTATTGGTCCCTCTTGTATTTTAGCCCCAGAGAGCGCAGCTTCCCCCAAATTCATTTACTCTCGTCTGTTTCATTCAAAACTCTTACCTAGGATTCGACTAGCTTCACTGCGGCTGCTTTCTGCTGTCTGGGAGCCCAGCTCCGTCTTTGCATAAGTGCTAAGTTGGCAAAGAAGAGTCTCACCCATAGGTCCAGGGCTGGATTTCTTCAGCTGGGCCTGATGTGCCAGCACATTTCTGCGGGTATGTTCAGCACAGAATGATACCCTGCGGGGACAAAACAAAATGTTGTATGGCTCGCAGAATTCATAGCTTCCAATCAGCAAGGCAAACACAGCAATATAGTGAAAAGTATTCACTGGCACTTGGCTTAGAAAAGGAGTCATCTCCACTTCTTTCCTCCGACACAATGATAAATTCAAGCAACTCTGACAGTCATTTGTATAGTTCCTAATATATTAAAGAATATATGATTGACAAACCACACGCACAACCACTGAAATGCAGTTACCTCTGCCATGAAGGTGGCAGCCACATGGCCTAGCAGTAAGATGAGGGGAAGGATACAAGGTCAAGCCCTCCCTCTTACAAAAAACTGATAATAGGATTTTTAATGACCCACGTGCATAGGGCTGAACATCTTTACCTCACAAGGACTCCACTCAAAATTCCGGGGATTCAAATAGTTGTGATCTCAGAGGGTGTACTTATTTCAAAACTGACACTATGACTGTTGAAGATAAAAATCTGCAGTGATGCCAGCACCAGGAAACAAACATTACACAATTCTCCAGCCCCTTTCACCCAAGGATCTCAAAGCACTTTATAAGCATTAATGAACTTTTAATTCCTCTATCAGATAATTACTCCCACTTTGCAGATGGCTAAAGAGAGACTGACTTGTTCAAGATCCCACAATGAGAAAGCAGCCTAACTAGGACTAAAACTAAAACTCCTGGCTCCTTGTATTGTGCCTTAGCCATGGGATTGATACTTCGCATGACAAGATATTCCTGCCAAGCCACTTTAATTCTACCAGCACCTACCCGTCCTTCTTCTCAGTTTTGGGAGCAGCATTTGGACACCTCTTCCCATTCTTAGTTGAGACATAGCTGCACTGTTTGAAGGGAGCATTCCGGTCTTCTAGGATGTGCTTAATGCAGAATTCTTGCCCTTCCAGCCGAGGCTGGGAACACTGGCGGTGTGTGAAGGCACAAGGCAAGGGTTCCTGGGGCCTTGGCACAGGGGTAACACGCCCCCGACTTGATGGCAAGACGTGGATCCGGATTCTGTTCATGCCTACACATGCAACAGACACATACAGATAATTGTTATATCTAGAGCAAACCCCACAAGCTAGTACAACTGATTAGCCTCTGCTATCATCATCAAAGGGACCAAATAATTTGTCAGTGTTGGTATAAATCCCTGTGCTATACAGACAGTGTCCTAGCACAAAATAAGACACCTCAGTACTACAAGACAGAATAGGACGAGGGAATTCTTCCTACAGTCTTGGTTTATTCTGCTCTTCATTGGGAGGTGGGAGCTTCATGGCATCTCTGGTCACTTTGCCACTTCCGTCCCCTGCATTCACATTGTGCTGTCTGGCAGTGGAGGTCCCAAAACAGAAGAGGATGGGGAGAGGCCCAACTCAGACTCTTTGCCATTCAGACCCAGGCACATTTTGTGCCACGACTGTCTCCTCAGCAAGGAGGAAAAACATGGAAGGGGAGGGTCTGTTCTCCAGATAGCCCCTTCCAGGGTGAGAGTCACCTGCATCCCACCCCTGCCACAGAGAACTAGGACACCCCTTTGCCAAGACTCACCCACCACATTCTGCTGTGGGCTCAGGGGCCACAATCCCACCCCCACCCTAAGGCCCTGACAGGTGTCAAGAAAGGAAGGGGAAAGGAAGGGGAGGCCCCAGCCAGAGTCACGGGCTCTGTGCTGTGTCCCTGCCCTGAAGAGCTTCCAACCCCACTTGGGAATGTGAATCTGAAACATGCCCTGGGGGAGGCAGACCCCCCCCAGCTGCTTCCCTGGACCGCAGACCTCACAGGATGGTTCC